CTTCATGCCACAAACACAAAAGAAGAAGGTAACCCCAGAAATCAAGCTGATTTTCAGAGGTGCACAGTCAGCACAAATTGGATCTGCCACCCTGAAAATGGAGGCACTTCTTTTAGCGCTGCTAAACACCAAGATTTAGGGCTTTGCTTCAAAAAGATATTTCAAAGATACCCAGAAAAGCAAGAATCTATTTTTGATGGTGTTAAGTCCTAACAGCTCTTCTGGGGTTTTGAAAATCTTTCCCACTCTCCCCAAATTTGAAAACATTGTCTTCAAGTGCCATCAAGATAGAGCTCCTCAGTAATGCTAAAATTTGCTTTAAAGAATGTGGATGAAAATGAATACACTCAGAGATTATGCACAGATTCATATGCATGGATTCATGGAAACTGTCTCATAGACAACAACGGCAGCATATTGAACCTCATAGTGGAGAATCATTTCACTGTGCTTTACTGTATGTTTTAGTCCTATCTCTTTGCATCTTTATCAGAAGCCCATACATGTCATTATCATTCATTTCCCTCCGTGAAACAAGAGAATTACGGAATTTGCTTTCTGAAAGTGGTCAGGTGCCCTTAAATAAATAAATAATAGTACTAATCCCTTTGGCTCTAGCAGAAGGGGTCGGAGTGGGGATTTGCCCTTTGAGGAAGGTGAAAAGTGCAGCTGGAGTTCAAAATATTCTGGGTTTGGGCTTTATCTCGCTCTCCCCAAGCCAATGAGGGCACAAGAAATCTGGTGAATTGATCTGCTGCGGAGGGAGATGCTTTGCCCCAGCCACCAGATACACAATTGTGCTCAGGATGTTTTTCATTACGAGAACTCCTCTGCAGAGAAGGGGAAATGGGGGGAGGAGGACTTAAAGCACCAGCTCCGGTCAGAAAATGAACATCTTTGCAAAGGTCCCCTGCATCCGTGCGTGGAAAGGGTTCTTGGGGAGATATTTAGAAAATCATCAGCAAGAGTCTCTTCTCCCCAGCAGAATTTCTTGATGAGGACAGAGCCCCTCTCTCCCTGCCCCCCCTGCTATCAGCTGGCTAATCTGCCTGCACATTCTGACACACAGCTGCGAGAGATGAAAACTGTACTGTTGATAGATGAAACTTTGGATAAGATTACATGGTTTTGAATATCTTGATGACATATTTGTCTGAAAAGTCTTTTAGAGGACAGCCTAATATAAATGCACGGAAATGTTTCTAATGACTAGCATTTGTCTACGTACTTGGTTTGGAAGATTAACATTCACGTGTTCTTCGACTGTCATTTGCATTTGTATGTGGAGGCAAACTTTTCAATAATCACTTCTTCATGCCGAGAAGAGTTAACAATTTATTCAAAATACACAAGGCCAAATTAGTCCCTGCTGTAGGGCTTGGTGGAGCTGCACCCGCGGTGGATGTGGCTCGGTGCACGCTGCAGCGACGTGCCCAGCAGGCTGCACGCACTGACCTTGCCTATGGGAATGGCGAAGGTCCCCCACTGGAAAGATGGAGCACGCTGCAAAAGGGGGAAAAACATAGCAAGGTCAGGACAGTTGCATCTTTTACTGTTTTGCTGTGCCAAACCCTGGGTTGTTTGCTGTTTTGTACTGATAAATGGATGCAGCAGGACTTAGAGTTCTGTCTTCGTTTTCATTTTAACAACACCCAGTAGTGTGATGTGGCCTTCGGAGTCCCATTTTTCAGCTGAGAGCCTTATTTTAACAAGTGCACTGATACCTGGGTGCTTTTGGATCCTGATCATCCCCGGAGGTATTCAAGAAACATCTAGACATGGTACTTAGGGACATCATTTAGTCTATGGTTTTTAGCAATATTGGTGATAGGGGGATGGTTGGAATAGATGATCTTAGAGGTCTTTTTTCAACCTTAATGATTCTTCTATGATTCTGGAGTCTTCTGAATTGAGTGCCTCAGTTAATTCGGGCAGTTGGCTTTCAAGAACTCTTGAAGAAAAGAAGCTTCCATTCCTAAAATTTGGCAGTACTTCTGGAAACTTGGCTCCTATCAGCTCACAGCAAGGATGTATCTGTGTTCACTGACCTCAGTTTTGCCATGGTGTGTAAGTGTTGATGGAGGAACTCACTGAGAATTGGAAAGGGCTTTGGTCAACCACACATTAACATGTGCATACCTTTACATTCCAGTGTCTTCTAATCATGCAAAAAAATAATTTAGGCTAATCTGTGTTGTGGTAGTGTCCCAGATGTCTGGGCTAAGAAGCATAACCTGGGCTTAGAACTGCAGTTCTGAAAGGGTGAGATGCCCTTCCCCAGGGTGTGTGGGAGAAGGAGCCCTTCCATTCACAACATATATGGTGCTCAGCTCAGCCAGGAGGAGAGGCAGCATGTGGGAAGAGGAGTTGCAGGGCTAAATATTTGATGAAACGTTGTAGGGGTGAGGAAAGACGAATGCTTGCAGAGACTGGTGGGGCTGTGCATCCCCGAGGGCTTTGCCCAGTTGCTTAAATATAAATGAACCTTTCAATCTGTCTTCGATGAGCTCAAAACTGACTCTGTGAAATCTGTAGGTAGCACCATGCATCAGCTACTGCATTATTTGTGTACTGATGCTATGGCACATATGGTCCTCTGCTTACAAGAGAAGATGTTAAGGGAGAGACCTGAGGAGGACAGCGTGGCTTATCCAGGGAGATGTTCATCTGTCCCGTTAGCACACTACTGTATCATTTTCCAATCTATGAGATTTCTCACTATAGATCTATGCTAAAATGCACGGAAGAGTTACATAAAGCTGAAAATTTGAAAATACCACAATTACTTGGCTGCTCCCCCTGGAGTGCTGCACGTTTCTTCAAAAAGCTTCTGCATGGAACGTGCCTTTGTCTGGCAATGCTGCACAACCATGGATACAATTTTGTTTTGCTTCCTCTCCACATACCACCATGTCTCTGTAGACTTGCACTGACACTCTTTTCCCCTCTCAGAATATGTTGACATCTTGATGTCTTCTCCATAGATTCACACTGACACAGCGTTAGGGACTTTGTGATGACACCGCAGCCCATGTTAGTGAATGGTGAAATAGGCCTGTCACAAGCTATATGATGAAATATCAAAACTGTTTAAAAGTGTAGTTTTCCACGAGAAAAAAAAAAAAAAAAAAAAGGAAAAAAAAAAATGTTGTGGGCCTTGAGCTTACCTTAAGGACTGATCTGCTCAGTTATCTACAAACAGGGATGCTTAATAGAGCACTGTGACCTTTGACAAACGTAAAGAAGAACTTAATGCCGTAGGTTATCAAAAATCACAGTAAGTAGGAATGATATTCTTGACTTTTGACAACACCTTGTAACATTTGCCTGATATGGGTACTTTAAAGCTCTGTATCTGGTACCAAATGTTTTTTTCTTTATGAGAAACGCAGTTGCTGAACTTGAACTGGCAAAAATCTATTTTGTTTTTGTTTGGGCTTTTTCCTCCTTGGTTATGAGTATTCTTCATGCTAAATGCAGAACTGGATTTTCCTTTCAGAAATGGTGCCATAATTACTCCAGTGCACCCAGTTAATTTCTTCTGAAAACAACTCCAAAGTACACTATTAATTTCTGCTGAAAATGACTTTGATGCTCGACAGGGTTTTGACAGTTTATTAACGAAGGCCCCCCTATGCATGGACCCAATTGGTTTCTCTGTTTTTCAGGCTGTTATGAGAATCTGAAACAGGTCAGGTGAAGGTGAGTGAGGTTGTGCAGGGGCTTTGCCTCTTCATTCCTCTTTTTAACCATTAAAGACTGCCACCAGCTCCATGTAACAGTGAGGAAAACAATAGCTTCAGAAGAGGTGCAGCTGTTAAAGAGAATTTTTCCTGCTACTATTTGGGACTGTCATTGGATTTGGGATGAGATAATTTGGACAAGTCAACAAGTGAAGACAAATAGTTTTGATTTCTTTGTTTGTTTACGAAAAGAAAAAAAGCACATTTGCTTAAGAATGTTGGAGAGGTGATTTTTGTTTCCTAATCCAAAAAGTGATTAATAGTAGGGCAGGCAGACGTGCAGTTGGAATTTGACCACACAGGACAGAGTTCACAAGACAAATTCAACCCTAGTTTAAGTGCTACATGGTCTAATGAGCCTCAGTATCTAGTTATTTTCTCAAATGTCTGCCTTGCAGACACCTCAGAGCTGGAATCGGAAAATCCAGCTGTGTTCTTGCTGCTTCTCACAACACAGCATAATTAGAACGTGCTGATAACTTTGTTGATGCATGAGAGATAAAAATCCATTCTACCTCATGCTGTTGGTAAAACCGTGGTTTCATCAGGAAAGAGAGCAGATACGAATTAAAAACAAACTGAAGAAGACAGTATCATTTTCACCAGCACACTTCTCTGACATCACCACCATCAGTTTGTGTTGTACACCGTTGCTTTGCTCTCGGCGTGGCATTAATCTCAGCTGTGAGTCAGGGCTGCATGCTGCTTGACACTGCGGAGAACAGAAGCACTCCATCCTTGGAAATCCTCACATCAAGAAGCTGCCTACCTAATGGCTCCCATTGCAGAGCTCTCCACAGTCACGTCTCTAGAGAAATGTCGTGTCCCCTACTTGGTTTTTTTCATGGGTAGAGAACATGACATGTGGCCAAGTTTTCCATGCTAAGAATTTCATGTTACATATTGTTGAAGATGACTGAAATAAGTTATGTACACATCAAAATGAGTGAACTTTTACCTCTTCTATTGCAAGCTATCCGTGACATCCTTGGAAATCATTGACTTCTTCGCTATTGACATTGGTGGGGGAAGGGGAAAAAGGTTCATCTTGCAGGAAATGCTGACTCAGATTTCTCAAGAAAATCTACTTTCTTAGCTGAAGAAGAAAGATTCATTATTTGCTCATCTCAGTGAAATCTAATTGTGATATTTATATTCTGTATTAATTTGATTCTGTAAAGATCTCCAACATAGGCAAAGAAGCCAATCGTAATAATTTGTTCTGAAGCTTTTATTACTATTGTGTTTTGAATGCAGGTATTAAAACAGCAGTGGAGCAGCAGATGCTATACCTTGCATATTGCTAAAGATGCTACCTATGCAGTTCCTAAAAACACGAGCCCTTCTAATGAGAAGAAGCAGAAAAACTCCCAATGACTTCAGTTGGGTATAGATTTCAGGTGGCAGATAGAGTGGTGGTACTTTCTGAGGAATGGTTTACAGTAGCTTTGACTTCTCTTTTGTACTTTATAAAATATATTCCATACATAAAAGTGTCTGCTTTGCATTAAAAGCAAGTTTTCTTTTTTAAGTAAGTTGAATAAACCTCCTTAAATAGATGAGACTGTTGGTACCAGGAGCTGTGACTTAGTGTATTTTTTTTTTTTAACATTTTCAAATGCTTATTACAATTCCTACTTATTTTATAGCAATATCACACAATAAACATTTCTTTTCTGATTAAGGGATTGAAAGAGAACTGAATTATAAACAGTATTAATATAAAAGGGAATTTCTATCCGGTGCTCTGTAGGCCTGAGTTTATTTGACCTTAAACAATCAGTCAGAAGAAGTCACATCAGCTGCTGTACACATTCCACATTACGGAGGAATTAAATTAAGCAGCTTTAATATCTGTGAAATGGCACAGGACTGAAAGAGAATCGTTCCAATTTATGGAATTTGTATCTGATTTACTAGTGCATGTCTAGCAATTCCAGAGTCACCAATTGCTTTAAGACCACCTCCAAAGTGTTTTTTATCACTTACAGTAAATGTGCTAACATCGTGTTTTAATTAAACATTTAAAGTGCATCAAACAAATTTATTGATGCTGCCAGAAGAGGCAAAATGGAAGGCAAAAAAAAGAAGGAATTCTGCTATTTGCAAAATGCCCTGGTGTATTATGCATGATGGTGTGACCCCAGTAAGACTGGTCTCAAACATTCCAGCTAATGTCTATACATTAGCAACTGCTTCCCCTCCCCTCCAGTCCCTCCTTTTCCATCCCCAAACCCCAAATCATACTTTGTGAATAAAAACATGGCAAGATCTTGTTGAAAGCCATTCAGCTATAATATCCAACGGTTGTGAACACTGCATTTATTTTTGCTCCTTGAATGCAAGCCTGATATTGAAATGATATAAAAGTCCCAGCAGCGCTTTATATTGATGTTGGCATTAAAAATGCTTTTTCTGTTAGTGAGAGAGAAGTTTCCCCCTTAAAAAAATAAAAGCCAATACCAGGCCTATCAAAACTTTATCATCCTGTTACCACTTGGGCACGGTATTAAATATTCAGAACTGGAGCTGGTTTTCATTAAAAATCCTTTTTCCTTCTGCACTGGGGATCACAGACCCACGACGGGTCCAGAATTCTTATAATTCTTTAGGAAAGAGAAAAGTAGGCATGGCGTTGCCATCACCTGCAGAGACACGCTTGGATTTCAGCCCCAAGCTCGCAGGACTGATGCGGGGCGGCAGGGGCAGAGGTTGGCCTGGGAGCACTGCTGGCCTCACCACCTCCTCCAGTCCTGCTCATTGCTGCAGGATGGAGGACCTCGGGGAACGTGGCCCAACGGTTCAGTGCAGAGAGGCAATCTGCAGAGGGCTATGTGATGATTTATGCTTTATGGCACCAAAACTACGGGCATGTTTGGGTTTTTTTTGTGTGTATATAATATAGCTTGGGTTCTCTTAGGAGGGAAGAGTATTTGGTCTTCCTGAGTAACCATTTGTTTTAGAGACTGATGATGGTGGCAGGTTCGCTTTCTTACATATCTGCTCTTACGTTTATCTGTTGTTGTATTCAGCTGTTCTCATATGCTTTCTGTTCATACTATGACCCACTGCATATCTCTGTACCAAACAGATGCACGCAAGCTGGTGCCTAGAGATAGGTGTCTAAGCAATTCTTGTTAAGGTCAGTTGCCTGCTAACAAGCTGATATACAAATGTAAAGTGCATTTCATTTATATTGTGTTATATTACATATCATCTTCAATTGAATTTCTCCATTTGTTGAAACCCAATAACTATAAACATCACATGGCTGGAGAGGAAACAAGCAAGGATCCCAATAGCTGCTGATCTGCCAGGAAACTGGCAAGGCAGAACTCGGAATGCTATGGCACAACTGAAAATGGCTATTGCTGGGAGATTGTGACTTTTATTCAGAAAAAAACTAAATGAGGATGAACTAGGGATCAGAATCCTTATTTTTGCACGCCATTCAGTCACAGACTACGTGAAAGACACTGTGGTGTCCAACACAGTCGGACAAGTGTCTTAATGGTGATAATTCCCTGATGTGAGGACCACCACTAGCTATTCATTCTCTGTGATCTCCTGTCCTGTACCGACTCACCCCAGTTTGCAGGAGACAATCCTAACAAGGGGGTTTCATGGTTACCTCGTGGTCCACGTCTATTTTTGTATCTGTTGTCTCCTGCTTTATACTTAGCTCTTCTGGCGTTCTAGAATTTGGTATAATGGAGCCCAATCAATGATGTGAGCTACTGAGCAAGTAACACAGTGTGAATACGAGGAAATAATTGTGTCTTTCAGCAGGAAGGTGGAGACATTTTTCTAGAGAAAGGGAATAAAGGCCTCAGAAGAAGGGTGCAGCATTTCTCTTCACATCGCTTTATCTTGGATGATTTACCATTGTGTTCTAGGGGAGTGATTTTCAAAAAGAATGAATTTTGCATTAAATCCTGAGGATGGTTGCTGCAGAAGAGAAGATATTTGCCTATTCAGATGATGAGCTGGATGCATAAGTGATCGCATCAATGGGTAATGTGCACATTCACTCATGAGAAAAAATTTGCATGCCCTATAAAGACCTAAAAGTTGAACATCTGGCCTTTTCTGTGGCACCTCAATTTTGCATCAATGTCTTCTATTCCTTGAAAGGTTTATTCCTAAAACCGTCAGATCATCACAGTCTTGATACAACATTCACTGCATACTGTTGGTAAATGAGCCGAGCTCAGCTGTGGTGGAATGATTAATTGTTTTGCATTAGAGATGTTACGTTCACCAGGAAGTCCTTGAGTTGTATATGGCTGGACATGCGTGGCAGAAAGACTGGTGCTGTTCTGCCACGAGGGACTGAGGACAGACCACTTTGTTATAATGGAAAAGTCATTCATCTTCTGCAGCATCTGACTATTCTATCTAGTTCTCCGATTTTGCAAAAATATATAGTTATTATCAGTGTGAACCATGAGAAAAGCCTTTGGCCCTGCCTATGACAGGGGGGTTGAAACTTCATGATCTTGAAGGCCCCTTCCAACCCAAGCCATTCTGTGTCTGTATGTTTCTATGAAAAGCATGCCCAAAGTGTACAAAGTAAAATATCTTTCCTCTCAGCTTTGCCCTGCTGCCTGTACACCCAACTGAAGTCCCATCTCTCTGTTTCCTGCTAGGATTCTGGGAAAGCCCAAGGCTGTGCCTGTCCGGAACACTGAATATCGTGATATTATTTTTCTGTGCTACTGCCTTGCAAGCATCGAGTGAAAATTGCACCTAACCAGAAAGACTGGTGGACCAGGCACTTCTCTTGTGTCTGCTGCTACCTGGCTGCTGATGCAGATCATTGGTTTGCTGTGGGCGTTCACTCGTCAGAGCGAGTCTTCCACATCTCATTGTCTTTATTTTTGTAATTTTGCCCTTGCCCCGACCACTCCAAATCCAGTTTGGGTTTGGACTGTGCAGCTCTGATTATGAGTCACAGCAATATTCTCACACATCCCAGTATATTAGTTAGGGGACCTGTGAAACAGCAGTAGGACAGAAAGTTATTAGTTGAAATTCCCAAATGAAGGCGCAAATGCTGAGGAACTCGCTCTGCTTTTATTTGCCCCAGCTGAGGCAGAAATCTTGTGCAGCGTGAATAAATTGTTACCTACTAGCTAAGAGAAGGGACTTATTTGCTGGGTTACAGCCATCACTTACACTCTGGGTGCAACCTAAGGGGCTCTCCGCTTTCGGACATCCAGCCCAGTTTTGCAAGACTGCAACTTAGGAAATTAAATTGATATGATTTTGAATCAGTTTTTCTCTGGAGGTCAGGGCCCAAGCACATGGAGATCCCTCGGATGAGTTTTGATTGTAAGATGAGTGGTGGGCTTAAAATTGAAATCACAAAGAAGCTAGTGCTTCTGATGGCTTCTAGCCCTGCCAGCTGCTGGCAGATGCTAAATAAGGAGGGGCCAGGTGCTGCTAGAAGCAAGTGATGGGGAAGATAACAAGGGGGGTTACCAGCCATTCCCTCCCATGCAGAGAAGGCACTCTACATGCTTGTACTTCTGACCCTAAGATCAAGTTCCAGATAACCATGTATGTAAAGCTCTGTTATCTTTCAGAGAAACCACAAGAAGCCTAAAACTGTACTCTTTTTTTTTTTTTTTTTCCATGAGGAAATCCTGTAGCAGCACTGCTCTGGCACCGTGACTGCAGCTCTGCTACACCTCTGCTGCAATGGGTGCTGCAGGACTGCACACCAGCATCAGAAATGAGGGGACAGAACCTCGGGAGCTGTCACCTCCACCGATCTAACAACAGTTTGCCCAGCTGAGGGCTGGTGGGGAGTGTTTGCTCATCTGCCTTAGCCATGGAAAATGAGGAGGTTAAAAATTAATCTTTGCAGCTGGCAACTGCTGTAGCGAGCTAACACAGTGGGGCAGAGTTTTTACCAATACCAGGAATGTTATGCAGCTTTGGAGTGGCCAAACAGCAGGGCTCACGTGTGGTAGCTTGACCCAGACTGAAGGCACTGTGTGACCTGTGTAGAGCTAAGTGCGCCTTTCTGCACTGACCTGCAGTGCACCTTTTGCACTGACCTGTTTAATTTTGGTGATATGAAGATGTTGGCATCCTGTGACAGCGCGCTTCCATCTGCAGAATGGAAAACTGTGCTATGATGTATAGCTTTCCTTTGAATCTGCAGGATTAGAAGTACTAATAGCAGGCTATTTGAGTGGTGCGAGTAACTATAAAACCTTATGGTGTCTCACCCCTCTTATTAGTGGTTCTCTGTGCTTTCCTTTGGCTCATCAGTTGCAAAAGGACACAGCCACGTGCTGCTGGAATTGGCTTGAAGCTGAACCTTGAATTTCAGGTAGATTAAAAAAAGACAATCACTGCTGGAGGAGACTGCAGGAGATGGAATCTAAACCTGCTGGAGCCAAACTGACACCAAAAAGAGCCAGCCTGCCACTGCTGTAAGTAGTGTAGCAGTTACCTGAACAGCTATAAAAGTGCAAATCCATAGAGGGGGCAGGAAAGAATAAAGAGAGAACTGCCCTCCCCGTCTCCTGCT